CACATGTTAAACAATTAAAATTGACTAAAAATGTATATGCTACATTCTGAATACAACTATTCCAACAAAAGATATGTAATAAAATAAATATAATACAAATATTTTGTGAAAATACTTCCAAATAAAAATATATAACCGCGCCGGCCAGCTAGTAAGGGATTCCTTAACAGCGGTGTCAGACTTACTAGTTTTTTTGTTAGATGTAGGTACTAAATAAAGCCGAAACCTACAGATTAACTTGCCTATACTCGGACAAAATATTGAAGGTGATTCCTTCCTGTTCACGTACAACAATCACATTATACCAGAGCATAATGAATGGAATCACGCGCTTAAAACTGCAAAAGTTATCGAAATCACGTGCCAACTAGTCATAAATGCATGTTTATTGCCAAAATGAATTACGCTTTACGCTAGTGGCGTATAAAAACTATTGGCAAATTAAATGCGGTAATAGTAAATAATATTATATGAAAGTAGGTTGGTTATCTATTTTTGTAGTAATAATCATTTATGTCTATAATTTTGTTGTGTTTATTGTTAAAATATGAAAGTATTATGCCAGTGGCGTAGAAACACTATTGGAAAATTAAATGGGGTATTATACTAGAACAAAATATTGAAGAAGGTGCGCCTTAAAACTGCAAAAGGTATCGTTATCATATCAAAATGCACTCTTCCAGTGTCGCAGAAATACTATATTGGCAAATTAAATGGGTATTTGTGAATATTACTAGATGAAAGTAGGTTGGTTATCTATTTTTGTTATAATAATTAATCTATGTTTATAATTGTATTTTGTTTATTATAAAAATATGTAAATTAAGCTTGGTATCAATTACTTGAATTCTAAATCTATGAAGTTTCGTAATCCATTGATTCTGCAAAACTATCACTGGAATCGTCTTTATCGTCGGAACTTAAAGTTATGACTAAAGGTTCAACTACCGTTTCGATCATACCGTCCAAGCGCCACATATTATTTTCTTCCTTAATTACATGGGAAATAGCATTCTGCCAATATTCAGGTTTTATACGTTCTATACCGGTTTTTAATAAACTTTGAACGTCGGCTATTTTAAAAGTTTTATTTTCTCGAGCTACAAACCCTTTCACTTGCGCCCAAATTAGTTCAATAGGATTTAATTCGCAGTGATAAGGGGGAAGTCTTAATACCGTAATACCACGATCACGAGCCATTGTGTCGACAACATATTCAATATATTTATAGCGGTGTTCCTTTATTAGGTCCATTAATTCCACTTTAAGCATCTCCTCAGTAAATGTTATTGCTTTATCCCGCAGCCAGGTTTGCATATCCGTTTTCCTACTGGACATTATCGGAATGCGTTCAACTCGTCGACTGTGATAAGAAGCGTTATCTAGTACAATAACTGAATTTCGTTCTACACGCTGTAATACTTCAGTAAACCATTTTTCAAAGCATTTCGCATTCATCTCGTCGTAGTAGTCTCCTGTTTTTTCGATATAAACACAAGAGCGCTATTTTCCAAAAATCCACTGTTACTTCCGATATGGGTAACAATTAGGCGCTGTCCTTTACCTAATGGTGCTTTCAAACCTGTAGATAATCCCTCTATAAAAGCATGGCGATGACTAGTTACAGAAGTATCTTGCCATATCTTAGATACCGTGTGTCCAGCATTTACCCATGTTTTATCGAGATAGTATATCTTTTTTTAGTGGCTCTAAACTCTTTAATATTTCGTAAATAACGCCGTCGCCAGGACACTATACCTGACCTCTCAATTAAAATTGATTTCCTACACCGTTTGATAAAACGAAATTAATGGAATTTCTTCGTTTTCTCTCAATTTCGTAAGAACAACTTTAAGTGTTGGGGCTTTGTTTTCGAAAAAAAAAAGAATGTACAGTTCTTCGAATGATTTGTTTTTGGTTATCGTCCAATTTCAACAATTTTCGACTACGTGTATGCGTTTTAGGGGCTTCTAAGGAGCCTTTTTTTGTCTTTTCGCATACAATACGTTCAATTGTTGAAACAGATACTCCAGTTAAAAAAGAACTGCGGTTTACAGCTTCATTTATAGGAAGTGTCTGTTTCAGCCCAGCATACACTTTCCATATAATGTTCTTTTCATCCTTTGATAAGGGCTTCCGCCGACGTAATTGGGTTTCACTTGGACCCGCCTCTGAATCCATTACTATTGTAACAATATAATTCTACTATTAAATTGTTTTTATTAAATTTATAAAGACACCAATATTTTACTATTTAATAAACTTTTAAAGTACCTACCTAATATAATACACAATAAATATAACTCCTCGAATATGCACTACTACTACTACGTATATCAAAAAAGAGCACTTATACAAAAAAGTGTTTATAAAATATAAAATAATTATCGTAAATAGTTAAAGCGATACAAATTTAACTTCGTCGAAAGTTAGTTTTCAACTGTCTTTGTGCCTGTGCTGACAATATTCAATATGTAACGCGTCTGTCATTTATTTACTTGAAACACATTTTAGAACCATTAAACACAGATAACGAAGTCATTAGGAAATAAATATATTCATTTCTTGAAAACTATCAAAAACGTATATTTAACGCATCATCTTTGTTTAAATAAAGATGTTGACAAACAAATTTAATAAAGTTTACTAACAAATACCTAATAAATAATAAATAATTATTTGGTATTTGATACGCCGCCTATACTAACTCTGTCGGAATTTTCATTCATAGACAACAGTGTTGATCATGCATGTGATATTTTGTCCGAGTATAGTAAGAGATTTCTTAACAGAGGTGCCAGACTTACTAGTTTTTTTTTTGTTAGAAGTAGGTACTAAATAAAGTCGAAACCTACAGATTAACTTGCCTAGAAACAATTTCGTTTTGTACAGTTTATTAAATAATAACTACAGTATTATCAATGTGTAGTTGAACTAGTTTAATCGTCGAATATAACAAAATGAAGCTCTCCAGTAATTTTCGAATTGCTCAATAATTATTTATAGAATGTATTTATTTTCATTATCGTACAGCTAGATACTTTTACAGCTACTACTGTGTAACAAGATATACGACATATTTCTAATTTTTTATTTCTGTTTGAAATCCACCAATTTTTGATAATCAATTCACAGAGTGGCAACATTGTTTTTAATATAGCGATAGATTTGTCATTAGTTTATTAGGTAAAATCAACCTGCCCCTACCCTACTCGGGCCTTCCGCATGGAAGGCAAGCGCGCTGACCTCACCACTCACCACCATCTATGCGATTAACACTTTTGTTTTAATACTCCTAATTTAATTGACTTCATATAGTTCTTTTTAAATTAACAAAAGTATTTATAATTATATACGAAATAAAAATGGAAATGTTCTTAAAGAAAATCACAAACAGGTCTACTCTACTCCTGATTTCTGACAAAAATTGTCAAAAAATAGAACGTTTTTTTTTATGGAGTAATAATTGGCATTATTATTAGTAAAATATAAAGAATTACACAAAAATTCAAGAAAGTATTAAATGTTTTAATTAAATAAACAAATAGAAAACATACTGATTGAAATAAACTAAACAATTAGGTTATTACTCCAGTCTGTGGCGTAACATTGAACTACAGAAATATGAATTATCCAAGATAATACGTTGATAGTAATACGTAAAATAGGGTTTAAATAGACTGTCGATAGTTGACAAAAAATACTTGAGTAAGGGCTGCTTAGGATCCCGAAGCATCTTAATGTGTAAAGTTTTGTGCAGCAAATTATGTGCCAGGGGTAAATATCTTTAATTATTGCCTTAACATATTATTTTGTGTTGTTTGATTGATGAGACAATAATTGATTTCCATATAAATACCAATTTTCCATCGTTTTTCGCTTACTTCTATAAATCTAGGAAGTAAGGCGGGATCACCATAGAAATCTGGGATTGTTGAAGCCATTTTAAATTTATTTGAATTTAAAATTTTTAAATTTGTTTTGTTTAAATTTGTTTTATTTAAATTTGAGCCAGAATCTGTATTTGAATCAGAATTTTCTAAACTTTCAGAATTGATAATTAAAGCGGTTGCTCTCTAAACGACATATAAAACACTTACAGTAAAAGTAGTTTTCACTCCATCTATTCGAATTCCATCGTCAACCAAGGATTGAACCGGGTAAACTTTTCAATGTTCACTTGAATGTCTTTCTTAACTCGAACAGCGTTCTTCTCGTTAGGCTATTCACCCAACTGGAAAACTTTTTAAATGTTTTAAAGTTCAAAATGGTCAAAAAATCGTAAAAACGAACCAGGAATTATGTGCACTAAACCCGTTTGACCATCCTACTGACTGCGTCACTTAACTAAGTAGTCTCTGTATTTAATTTAAATTACAACTTTACTAATCAAGAACAGATTCTAAACTGAATTTAATGGAAGGAAATATAATACAACCGATGCTATTGCCCCTAAGGTGGAACGACACAAATTAATCTAATGTAGTTTATATATCTTATATTTATCATGTATAGTTAAATTTTTCACACTTTGACAAGCTGTAGTGTTGGTGTTGATGTTTTCAGACAACAACACTTAGCTTTTTAGTAGAATTCAAAAATAAAGTCATTTACAGGGTTGAAAAAAATAATTTTTATGTTGCCTTGCCTTACTCGTATTTTAGAAAACAATATAGATATTGGACTTCCAGACACTAATAGGCCACCCTGTCAATTATTTTGTAGAGCTTATAGAGAGAAATTTAACGTCGCAGATCATATCTTCCTAGCCTAAACATTTGTCGAAATATTTAACAAAAACCCAGATTTTTTCAGTTAAAATTTCTCCAAAGTCAACGGTATCCTAAAGAAACATGTCATTTGTCATTATTAAGGACATTTATTAATTTCACACCTTTGCAATTTAATCTATACAAATAACGTAGGATAACATCTCCTTTTTATTAGTATAAAAAAAAAGATTTATTATTGTTTTATAATATTGTTTTCTTCATTTACAGATGAGAAACCTTCAACGTTCGAGGAGGCAGTCCGAAAAACTGGTTTCGGAAAATTTAACATTGCACTCATGGTGTTCACTTTCTGTGGAATATTCTCACCGATGTTCGAAACAACTACAATGTCTTATATTTTTGCTTCTGCACAATGTGATTTAAATTTATCTTTACAAGACAAGGGGTACTTAAATTCTGCTGTATACGCTGGTAAGTCTCTAAATTCTGCATGATAATCTAGTTATACTAGTAGTAGGTAAATGGCAATGCACAATGAGAAAGAGGTCATTGAACCCGAATCCTTCACAAATATTTAAAAACGACGTTATGTGGCTTCTTAAATTTGAGATTTTTAAATAAGTTTTAACATGTTAAGATTGGACAGCCTTAAATTATTTACTCAATAAAATGTTTAAACATGTGAAAAGTATTTAACAAATTCTTTATATCACTTGACCAAATTGATATCACCAGTTGTCTAGCAGTAAAGTCAATAAATTGAGCGGTGTCCCCAAAACAATGCCACTAACGTATTTTACAGAAATAATAATTAACTGGTCATAAAAGTCACTTAAAAAAGCCTTTTCTATTTAATTTCTTACCAGATCACGTGAGATATGGGTATTGTTGAAGACACCGCATATTCAGCTGTTTTTATTTTTTTGTAGGTATGATCTCAAGTTCGTTTATATGGGGGTTTCTTTTGGACACGTTTGGAAGAAGAAAACTGATGGTTTGCGGCTATTTCTTAGATGCCACTTTCGTATTTATTAGCGCTTTTTCTCAAAGCTTTACAATGTTAATTCTCTGTAAATTTTTGGGTGGCATAATGTAAATATTTTTCAATTGATTTATGTTCTCACTGTACATAATTAATTATCTTTGTAGAATTAATGGTCCATTTTCGGCAATGACGGCCTATTTGAGTGAATTCCATTCCTCTTTATACAGATCGAGAATACAACTGGTGAACGGGTCTTTAACCAGCATGGCTCAGATTGTTTTGCCACTTTTGGCATGGGGAATATTGCCATTACCAATACATTGGACTCCGTTTAGTGGAAGTAACGGTAAGTGGAATTTTACTTAAATTAACAAATCACGATAAAATTAATTAATTAATTAGAGAACTCCTTGCTTAAGTAATAAACTAATAAGATATTTGTGGGTCATGAATCATGAATCAGATAAAAAAATATAAATCTGAAGATATCTTCACAGGAAAAAGGGGGAAAAGGACTTAATCTAGAAAGTATTTATAGGAGCACGTTTGGAAAATTTGATTGTTTTAAGTGAATAACGTTGCTTGATAACTGCTAGAAGGAAATAGTTTGAAAAATATCATCTAATACAATGCCTACAATGAACAGCTTACATACCAATGAAAATTCTAAAATGAACAATTTAAGAATAAGAAACGCAAACAGATAATTTTATAAACTATCTTAGCACCAATGTCTTTAAAATAATTTAAATAAACTATTATTATAAAATATTAAGTAGTCAGAACTATCAAACATAGCACTTAATATGGGGAAAGCAAGATAACGAAAAATATTATAAGGATCATTTCAAAATTAAATCTTTATTTATTTTACTTGTTTTTAATCGTTTATAATTTTTTAATATTTTTTAGAGATGCACTCTTGGAATCTGTTTCTTTTGATAACTGGTTTGTGCCCCTTCATAAGCGGCATTATATTTTTCTTTTTGCCCGAGAGTCCCAAATATTTAATGACGTCAGGAGAAAATGATAAAGCCATGAAAGTGCTGCAGAGAGTGTACAGTTGGAACACGGGAAATCCACCTGAATCCTATCCAGTAAGTAAATAATAATAGGCCTTTTCATCACATTTTTTTTGTGCGCATGTGTCAGTATCAGTCATCTTTTTCGTACCGTTTTTTGTAAACAAGCATGTTAAAATGTCAAAGTGAAAAAGTTATAATCGATAAATATTAATTTTAAGTGTATTCGTTTAAAAAATGGAATAAAAAAAGTAAAGTAATAAGTGTCTTAATTGAAAAATCAATTTTTACAATCAATTGTGTTATCTTTATGGAAAGGAAAAACTAAACGGTATTGTTATGAGTATGGAAAAGTGAAAAAGACTTGCCTGCCATATCGTAAAAAAACTATCAAATCATTAGGCAAAATACATAATAAAACATGTTCAAAATGAGCATTATGAGTGAACAAATGTGGTCGAAGTGACAAAGGTTTTCGATTGATTGATAGATGATATTACTAAAGATATATTTGTTGACTACATTTTCATGGAGAAAGTGGTTCAACAGAAGAAAATCCTTGTCTGGTATTACACAATATTTTTTAATATTAAATACTACTTCGGTATACACAGTAATATTATTAAAAATGTCATGTTGATCCTTAAAATTTTAAATAATTCATCTTATTAATTATACACGGAAAAAAATTGTAGAACAAATTTCTACAATTATAGATTTTTTATCTACAATAAATAGTACAAATAGGGACAGGGACAATTTGTAGTAAAGATTTCCAAATATTTGTAGAGAATGTATTGTAGAGTTATTATCTACAATATGTAGTAAAAATATCCATATGTATCACAAGAATTGTTCTACAAATTTTTGCTATTCATTGTATAAATTTATATTAAAAATGTATTGCGTTTCATGAAAATTAATACGAAAATTTTACACAATAAATAGTAAAAATTCAAACAAATTGTAGCAATTTTTAATAAAATTTGTAGTAGTATTCCACAATTATTATAATTATAACCTAGAAAAAATGTTCCTTAATAAAATATTAAAAATTTATTGTTTTAATTAAAACGATACAAAGTCTTAATTACATTATGTAATAAATAACAGTAATAATAACTTCCTCAGTCTCAGTTGGTTTTACTGCACCTGAAAAATATGATATGTCACAATTAAATCGAAAAACCATCATCGAACTTGGCACAACAATCGATCGTTGGCTATAACTATTTTTATTAAAATAATGTACTAAGGTTATTTAAATTAGTTATCTAAAGGTAAATTATTTAGAAACTATAATAAATGTACTTACCACTTATAGAAGTTATTCTTAAAATTTTCTTGAATCATCACTGCTTATAATATAATAATGTGTTATATATGTACGATGCTTTGTTTTGTGAACATGGCAAACGTCTGTCTGACCATTTATGGTCGACGTCAGAATAGCAGAATTCTGTTTTATTAACATGACTTAAAATTTCTACAATATTATAGAATATTTTTCAACAAAATTGAATTTTTTTCATAACTATTTTTTGTAGAGAAAATTACTATTTTTTGTAGAGAAAATTACTATATTTTGTAGAGATAATTATTAATATTTGTACAAATTTTAACAGAAGTTAATAGTAATAATTACAATAATTGTAATACATTTCTACTTCTACAAACAATAGTAAAATATACTAAACATTGTGGTCTTCTTTCCTATTGTTGTAGCATTTTATTCGACAATTCAATTGCTACAATAATTAATAGTTTTTAACTATAAATTATAGTAAATTTTTCTACAAAATGTCAAGTATTTTTCTACAAGTCTACTACTACAATATTGTAGTAAAACTTTCTAGTCACATTTTTTCCGTGTACAAGTGATTAACTTTCATGTTAAAGTGTTTTTGCAATTATTAATATTTGGTTATCAAAAATAATTAGAATAGAGTTATAATTGTGATTTGTTTTCATTAATTTTTTACACAGTTAATATGTATTGAAACGTATCCTCTCAAACACCACACTTCCACAGAATTATAAAAACGTAAATCACCATCAACGATTTCTTCTAATGATTGATTTGTATGTAATGATAATATTGCGTTTCCAGCCATTGTTGATCAAAACAGTACGAAACTTTTGAATTGGCGCTATTTCAACATGGCGCTGTGCTTGCGCTCATCACATGATGAAAAGGCCTATTAATTATTTGTTTATCATAATAACTCGTACTCCGTATTTATATACATTTTTTTTAGGTTAAAGAATTAATCCAAGAAATTCAAGTTATTGATAATGATGATGAGGATGGTTCAGTTATAGATTACAGGTCAAAATTGCATGCAGTAAACGAAGGATTACAAAATTTGACGCCTTTGTTTAAATCTCCTTATATAGGAAAGTTTCTTCTCATTGCTATCATTGAAGTCATGTTTTTGACGAGGTAAGAAAAATAATACCCAAGCGAGAGACATACGGGACAAAACATTCTAAAATTTAATAATTTATTCCGCCTTCTGTGGCATCTGAACAACAAAATTTTATAAACTGTAAGATTTACTATAGACTAATTAAAAAATATGACTGCTTTATATAGTTCATTCATATTTTTTAGTTTAAACATGTTAAGACTGTGGACTCCGCAATTATTTCAAGCTTTAGAAGACTATAAAATGGAGAATAATGGATCAACTTCCGATTTGTGTACCATGTTAGAAGTACTAAAACCCAAATCAGCGGCTGATACTTGCATTCCACAAGTAAGACTCAATTAATTTCAATTTATTATAAAAATACTATTAAATAATTATCATGCCGCTTTCTTTTGTATTTTATCTATAAATCAAAATATTTTTTGCAGAATGTCGGTAAACCCAGTGTATACATAAATTCAATATTGGTAGCATCGCTAGCTATTACATGCTATATTGTAACAGGATCAGTAATTCATGTTATGGGAAAGAAGAAAATGTTGCGTAAGTAGTTTTTACGTTATACCTAATCAGTAGTTTCGATATTTCTTCAAAATTTCGTATTATGGCAGAGACATTGAAATCCGTATTAATATGGCAACGCCGCGTTCTAACTAGTCTATGAAAAATTAATGCGCTAGTTCAGTGTGATGTCATTTTGGTCCACTGACATTTAATTCTAACCAAACTTTTAACAAAAACATCAATAAATTTGACATACGTTTTTACTGTGTTTAGTTTATTTCTAAATATTGTTAATAAGTCATAAAAAATAGTTTAAAGGTATGTAATTGGTAACTAAGCGATTGTATATTTAATGCATGCTATCTACTTACTCTAGGAATATATTTATATTAAGTGAAAGAACGATATAATTTAGGTAAACAAAACGAACAAAACGCACACAAAAAATCTACTGTCACTTTAATTATCAGTGTAACCATAATTACATCATCACTGAACTAGAGCATTATTAGCTGTTCTTTGGTGCATTGGTGCAAATCTAGTGTGATCTGGAAATGTTAATGTCAATTAAATCCTATAAAAATTGATTATTTGTCCAATGTGGCGTAAAAAATGAGCCAAACAAAGTTGAGAGTTGACTAATTTACCATGCAAGCTTCATGATTATTTGATTCTTAAATGCATTACCTTCCAAGAAACTTCAAAGTATGCAATACAAATACTGCATTTTTGTCTTTATCTTCAGCGTTGTCAATGTTTATAAATTATCCAAGTTTTGCTGCTTTAATCAATATAAAACGTATAAATCAAAATTATTCTGTAGAGTAGGTACATATATTAATTATAGATGTTTTTATTTTAGTTATCCTAGCAGCTATTGGATCCGTTTCGTGTATTTCGCTATATTATGCGAAAGGTGTTATAATTACAACAATGTTGACAGCACTATTTATATCCTGCGGTAACGTAGGTGGCAACATCGTTTTAGCTGTTGCCATAGATGTTTTTCCTACAAGTTTAAGGTAAGAATATAGATTGTTTTTCATTTGTCATTATATCAATAGCATTCTAACTTGCTTCTCCGTGAAATTAAAATATCTCGCGAATTATTGATTATCTCCAAAAATTATGTATACATAGCTTTTGCTTAGTATTAAATTATGTATAAATTTTTTCCAAGACTTATTTTTGTAAGACCGAGCGTTTGTTCGTTACAACAAAGGTTTCAAAAAGTTTTTTTTATTTCGTAGGCTTTACTATTGATAGTCAAAACGACAATTAGTAATCTTATTTTGCATAATTTATCGATAATTTGTGTATAGCATGTCAATAACGCAAGATATGTTTTTTCACAATATATTGTTGAGTATTGGATGAATATAAATTAATCATTAGTAAAATTTTCACGAGTTTCAACATGTAAAAAGGTTTCGTATATATTATAGTTTCCTACCTACTGATTGGACTAAATTTAAACGTAGTTGTACATAGCACGATCAATAGAGTAATACCTCCTCGTAAGGGAAACTGGATTAATTTAATAGTATAATTATTTTTTTCAGGGCCTTTGCAGTATCGTTGATAATGGCAATCGCCAGGTGTGGAATCATGAGTGGGAATGTAATATTTCCAATGCTATTGAAAGCAGGATGTGCGCCGCCATTTTTTGTAGTTGGAGGAGCCATAGCAGGTAATTATTTTAATATTGACCGTATTTACTTTTAAGAAAGCATAAACATATATCACAGTGTGGTCAGTGCGTATCTGATATCAATAGAAGAATATTTTATAGGTTTTATAATAAATTATTGTTTTGGAATTTCCTCTATAACCGCCCAATGGATAAAAACACTTGGTTTTGTTTGGTATTGCACCAAGTACCTTAAAGTAAAAACAAAATATAATTTCTTTATGAAAACTACCTTTGAATCTAAGTTTTCGGGTAAGATAAATGAGTTTAATCAAATATTCATTGATTTAAAGTCTATAATACGTGTCAAGCCCATAACGATTCAAAAATTGTTGATTTTAAATTTGTGGTTATATTCAAGTCAATCGATTGAATTTGAAGAACATTACTCTGCGAAAGGATGCAAATAGCTCTCAAAATTATAGAACAATGGTGAAAGGACCATTCACTGTCTATCAATCCCAAGGAAGACACAAAAGGTCCTTTTCACAAGGAAAAGGATTAAAATGGAATTAAAGCCTCCAGAATTTCTAAACACAAAACTAAATTTTGCAACAGATGTGAATTACTTTTGACAGCAAGTTAACATGAAACTCACACTTAGAAAATAGTGTCAATAGAGCATACGTAGCTTATGAACAATCTCGCCGAAGCGTGGGGCGCGCATACGGTGCAGTTGTATATTGTCTGGGTACCGAAAATCCAAAAATTGACAGCTATCCGCAAACTAGAACAACCATGAAACGACACCGACCAGAGCAATGAAAGTTTTTCTTAGTCTCACTCCCCTTGAAATTAACATCATAAGGTTGCTCTGAAGACGATGACATGCCTCCGCACGGTTGGAATAGAACCTGATGTAGGATCTGGTGAGGTGAGACGTAGCTTTTGGCCGAAGGCGCTCGATACGCTTCCACTGCTTCAAGCGAACATGGACTCCATCTCTAAAATCCATATAAAATTATAACAGAACAAATAGAAAAGCCGAAAGTGGCAGGTACGATTCATACCTACACCGGCGGTTCTAAAACAAAACAAGACTCAGAATGTGAAATATACTCTAGATCCTTCAACCTAAACATAAAATGGGCTGTGAGCAATAGTGTCAGTGTAGTTTAAACAGAGCTCACGGGAATTGTCATAGCAGCAAAAGAAGTCACCAGAAACAATATCACTGAAAGAGAACATGCTCATCTATACAGATAGCAAATAAGCTCAGGGCTAGTGCTAGAATATCACCAAGCTTTGGCCGAAATATCCATCAGCAATGTGATCATCTTAAGATGGATTAAAGGTCTCGCCACATCGACAGGTAATCGTTTTGCTAATTCACTAACTACGAAAGTAGCCAACCAAATACTTTTGGACCTGGTCCTTCTATTGGCCTGACAAAATCGGTAGTGACAAACCTAATTAAAGAACATTTCCTTGTGAAATTCAAGGAAAGATGGAATGAAACAAGAAACTGCAGAGTTGCTAGGGAACTTTTAAGTTATTCTGAAAATACTACAGCAAAAAAATACTTGACTATGACTAGATAGAATCTGCCCTTGGTCACAGACATTCTGACTGGTCATTGCCAAGTACGGAATCATCTCCATATCATGGGGTTGTCAGAGTTCGCACTCTGCAGGGGTGCAAACAAGAAGATGAGATCATCGAGAATATCCTCTACGATTTCCCGACGCTCTTATTTATTAGAAGATTTGTGTTCGGCGAGTATCGGCTAACATCGGCCGATTTAAGAAAAGCGCCTCTTAGCGACGTTGTCAACTACATTAAACCTGTAGGCTGGCTCACTAGCTAGGAGGTGCCTATCATCTTAGGCGGATACACAAAGGGTCTAGTAAGGACCAACTGCCGTGGGGTAATCCACCCTCCACACATTACAGATACAGATAAGACAATGGCTTATCATACTAATAAAAAAACAATGGTTTACTTAATAAAAAATATCAACTCTTTGATTTAAATCTACAAGTTAAAAACCATAAAAGAAGGATGATAGACAGTGATAATTTAAGATGGTTGCTACAGAAAAAGTGTTATCCCAGTATCAAGTATTCGATGTTCATAAATTTTCAGCTAAAATTAAAATAGTTTAAATAATAATACCCTCATTAAATTCTTAAGAGGGCAACGTGATGTGATATCATTTCGTTGTTTTAAAACGGCAATACTGTCAGGAGCTGTAGCGTAAACTTTAGATTCAAGGTATCTTCACAGAAAAAATCTACCAGGAGATTCCTCATCTAGATAACGTCTTGCTGCGAAGTAGTAGTGTGCAGGAACGTTGTTTCCAAGTTACCAAATTCATCTAGAATCTAGATTACTTTCCAGAATTTGAAGAATTAACGGTTCAATTGCGTTTTTAAACATCTCCAAATATACTTCACCGGTTAAGTTAGAATTCAAAAAAGTAGGCCCGACTACTTGGTTTCCCAGAATACCTGCCCAAACATTTACTTTTGATAGAAACTGTGGTTCTTTTTCACTAAACATGTGAGGATTTACGCTAATTCAATACCTCACATATTAATATTTCCATTAAGGAAGAAAGTACTTTCGTAACTAAAACAAACTGTTGGACAATTTTTGTGTATATTTTCACATAATTTCAGCCAAAAGTTGATACACCTGTTTTAATTTGTATGGGTGAAATTTGTTTTTGGTCAACACTGTGTACTTTTCTATTACTGACTTTACAGGGAGACGCAACTTAGGCTGTTGACGAAGTAGGGTTTACTACAATTTTTGCAACTTTATCAATTTGTTTATCAATACTAATCTTCGGTCAACCAGATCGTTTGGCATCATAAACACTACCTTTTTGAAACTCCCTCAAATAAATTCTCGATATAATATGGCGATCCGGGTACCTCTCATTAACAAGTTATAAAAGTATATTTAAAGACAGACTTCAAAATCGTGCAGATGCCATCACAAATTGAGTTTTCTGATTTTTTAATAGATTTCATCAAAAAATCTTTAGCAAATTTATATGGGACCACCCCCATACATAAAAAATGAAGAGTTTGATGATTTTCTCATGAACCCCATTATCAGATTTTAGCCAAATTTATATGAAACCAGCCCTGAGGTACCCCCTTCCTAACTTTCTAAGAAAAAGAGAATCATAGAAATCAGACAACGAGTTTAACAATTATCACTGAATATACATAAAAAAAAATATTCCGACGAATCGAGAATATTCTCCTTTTTTGAAGTTGGTTTAAAATGCGGTAATAGTTTGGAAAAATGCTTTTGCTTTAAAGATTTAGAGCCCTTTCAGACGAGGATACTGTATGCGAGATACGCGTATCCGAGATTCAGAATCGCGGTCGAAAACTTGGGCTGCTGTACTCAGTACTAAACTAGTCACAGTGGCGTGAATTGGTTTAAATTATGGATCTAGAAGAGTGTATTATACTGAGGTATATAATACAGTGACTCACATAAAATGCGAATCGTATGGGATTTTTTTGTGAATGCTGAAGATGAATTTTGACTTTGCCATGTTCTGTTGCTTTAAAAATGATAACGAATAACATGCAAATGGACAATCACGTGACCTTTTTAAATGTCTGGAATATTTTTTTTCCTAAAAATTGCAAAAATACATTAATTTCAAGAAATTCTTTAACAAAAAGTTGCTTAATAGAGAGTTATTGCAAGTTTACTTAAGGTCAGTCACTATTAGTGCCGCTCTTATTTTGACATCTAAGCATGCGCAGATCACTTACATTGTAGAACTGACTTTAATAAAGATTGTGCCTGTCTTTAATTGTGGATGTTTAAGGACAGCAGTTAGTGGCGACTTTATAGTTTTCGGGTGCGCTCGCCAACATTTGTATCAGTTCGAAGTTTTCTAATATTAAATATTTAATATCATCGTCATCTAAATCTTCTAAAATGGTAATTTCTAATGCCTCTTCCATTTTATATGCTATTATAAACAACAGAAAAGATGAACTGTAATTTAAAATTTTTAAAATGAGGTTAGAAATATGTATAAAGACAAGAACTCTAATGTCAAAATTTCAGGTTTAAAATAAGTCTTATTTTAGCATGGAATTTGTTTGCCTCTAATTACTTTGTCACTATTAGTGGCTGACGTTATAGAAATTTGCAATATCACTGTACTATTTAATTTTTTACCAATATATCCCGTTTTAAATTGTTGCTTTCTACCAATTCAATTTTGGGTTACGGGAATTTAAGCAACTTGTATAAAATATTTTTTCTACAAGCGTGCGAGAAGATGATCTTCTCGCACTCTTTCGAATGCGAGAACTTTATCTTCTCGCACGCAGAGAAATATAAATTGAAAAAAAAGCAAGGTATACTTACCGCCGAGGCCCGGGTTTGAACCTAAGATCTTTGCGTTATGAGCCCGAAACCCTAACCACTACACCAATTCAGTACATAACATCGGTTTAATATATGTATACTTAAACTGTATGTTGTACCTAATGTCATTATACAGGTTAATTCTCTATTTTAGAAATAAATGCGCTTGTAGAAAAAATGCTGATCGTAACACGTGCTAGAAGCACTTTTACGCACTCACCTGCTTACCCGCACTCCGCTGCGCGTCGTGGGGGTAACGCAGTTTCGTGCGTAAAAGTGAATCTTCTAGCACTTGTTGCGATAACTACTATTTTAACAAAAAAACATTTAAAAGTAAGCGCATCGCGTAAACAGAATATTTTATGCAGGTTAGCTTAAATTAAAGTAACCTTGAAATAAATTGGTAGAAAAAATAAGAAAAAAGTTGAAAATTGGTATATGGGTAAAAAATAAGCAAATAAAGGTTAATTTTGACATTTACATGTCACGTGATTTTCCATTTTGCATGTTATCGGTTATCATTTTTAAAGCAACAAATAATGGTAAAGTCAAAATGTATCACATCATTTGGAAAGAAAAATCCCATATGATGCGCACTTTATATGTAACACTGTATATTAAGAAAAAGTAATCCCTGTGTCCTGGATCCAGTAAACAGGGTTAGACCACCAAAATAATAAACTTTTCTTTGTCTATTCTCCATCACTACTTTATATTATACATTATACATAAATGCAAAATTATAACAAATTAATCAAAATGGCTCTTAAAATTATTTTTGACGTTTGTATTAAAAATTTGTACAAAAAGCGTATAATCTAGTAGGCCAGAACTTTAAACAAACCTGAGTGTTTTACATCTGCCAACTTTAATTTTATCATTGGATATTTTCAATAGGAACACTTTAGGTATTTAAAAAATAAAAATGTGCAAAACATACAGGTTTGGAGATTTTTCGATGGAGAGGGTAGATAATGAAATAATATTCCAGTTTATACACTCAAAACTCATAAATCAATTCATGTTGTTTTGTCAAGAAAAATGTACGAGTTTGACGTAAATACATCCATCTGCAGAGTACATTATTTTAAAATTAAAAGACTGGACATACAACATGCGTAGAAAAGTCGGTGAAGAATGTAAAAATTTTGTAGTATAAGCTAATTTTTTATTCGTGAAATAATTTTAACATGTAGGTACTTCTCCTGCATCTAATTTAATCGTTAACTTGACATAATTTTTAAAATTTTACTTTGTTCTAAAAATTTTTAAATAATGTTTTCTCATACAGTTTAATCGATTAAACTAGATGCACTTAGGATACCCTTGAAAAATATCCTGCACCCATGATATAATCTTTGTTGCAAAAGTATGCATGTCTGAAAATGTCCATACATCGTAATAGTAAGTCTGTATCCGGCATACGCATTCAGCCTCCGCGGCTGAAGGTGCCGGGATACAGAAATTCCTTATCGTGATACTCTGTGTCACCCGCTCCGTGTGAATACGATTATTTAAATGTATGTTCAGCCTGCATCTGAGATACCTACGCGTATCTCGCATACAGTATCCTCGTCTGAAAGAAGTCTTAAGTGTTAAATTTAATATTCTTTAATAATTTGGAAGGTTTATAATGTTTAACAATATTCTTTCTATAACAGTTGTTATTGTTGTTTCATTGAGTAATAAATAATATCTGATCAGTTTTTGTATGATTGCTTCAAATACAAGTCTATTAGTTTGTCATAAATTGAAGCTGTGATAACAAGTTATTTTGGCTCAATGCACATAAAGACGCGTATTTACTTCAGCCATGAATTTTAGTTAAAATACATTGTAACTAAATTTATTTATTTATTTATTTATTTTTCAGTTGGAGGTTTGCTCACCTTGCTGCTTCCGAATACAGAAAATAAACCACTGCAATAAACCATTAGATAAATCAATTCTTATTTTTGAGAATGTTGACTGTAATTTGTGATTATCTAGATTAAATATATTGTATTATTTATTTTTTTATAACGAGTAAAGTTTTTACTTAATTTTTTGTTTTCTTTGTATGTATTGTCCGAAAATGCCTAATCCGACCCTGTGTCTAAAGCAAGCGCGACCTTCAGCTGGTACACGACTCATGCTCGAGGCGACGGAACATTCAGGAATGCCGCTGACGCACTAGAAATTGCTAGAACGGGCGGAGAGTGCTGTTGAGTCAGAGATGAAATTTTTGGGAACGTCTAGAGTATTCTGGTTACAGAGTTGGCTTGATATAAATATCGCGAGTTTGAAGACAGCAGTCAGTTGATTATAGTTAGTTTAGTATAGAGTATTGGAATTAAAAGTTAAATTGTAATAAATAAATTAGAATTGTTAGTTAATGTCTAAGTATTATATAAATTAATGTCTTAAATAAATTGTAAATAGTGTGTTTTAAATAAATAAACTATAAATAAATTAGACTATCGTTATAGTATCATCGAGATACAATGAAGTAGAGACCATAAACACGATTTTGCAATATGACAGATGGGCGCTGGTATCTGATATATATTTTTTAAATTTTTAAAAAATATGAAAATGAAAAAAAAATTATAAGTAGGCGAGTAATTATTTATAATAAAAGAATTTTTTGTTTATGGTTTTTCATCTTATTTTTTTAAAAAACAATAAATAATGAAAAATTATTGTATTCTAATATTTTTTTGTCTATAATGTCATTTTATTTTTATCATCCTATTAAATAGATAAATGGAATCACAATGTTTTTAATTTTGACAAAATATGATCAGTAAAACAATTTAAAAATTATTCAATAAGGCATATAAAAAAAGTAAATCTAAACTAGCCACATCTGAGGGAGCCTTAATAGCTAGATTTCCTGGATTAGCATTTTTTTGATAAAGTATATTAAATTAAAAAAAAATAAAGGAACAAAAAAATTCTGGCTCCGCCAGGATGTCGCTTTCCAGGTCTCAAATGGCAAGGTTGATGTGTTTGACACTCTAACCATCTGAGCTAATAGGCCTTGCGTCAATTGAATGATCTAATCGGTTATGTGTTTAACCAGAATAAAAAGCAAACATATCTTAGTTATTTTAAAATTATTTTAATAATAATTTTAAAGATAAATATCTAGGATCTAATTTACAACAATTTCAATAATTTAACAATCATATCGATTTTAGTATTAATATGAACATTATATAGATCAAAATAGAAATGATGTGTTTGACATTTTGTGATAGCTGCTGCGGAAAGTAGCATATTCGTTCACGGGTGGAAAGTAAATTCTTATTCTTACGCGTGTGATATAGGGCATTTTCCATAGGACTATATAGTGTGATATGTCACTTTTCTAAGTGGTCGTAGGAAAAAATTATTTTGTGGTCGACCGAAAAATATTGTAAAATATTGAAAGTGATTTTTGACACTACTATTAAACTATGGCATCCATGCTACAACTGCTACAAGGACACAAAATCCGATATCGTTTGGTAATTCCACTATGGTTGGCAACAGTGGAACAGGCCTACTTAAAAACATTAAGTCCCACAGAAATTAAAAAACGTATCAAGTCAACATTGATATTTATTTTTAGAAAACAGATTAGTGTGAAATGCTTACAGGACATTAATTTAAATAAAAAAGTGAATCAATGTTTGAATACACTCCCAAACTGGTCTGCCCCAGATTGCATTATTTCCTCGTATCCGAAACTTTCCATGCCACTTTTAGATCTTTGAAAATATTGCCAAAGGTTGGCGTAAGTGGATAAATCGTACAATCCAGCACTCTAAAAAAGAAAAAATTTGATGGTTATTTAAGGATTGAGTCAATTCTAGATCAAAATCTAATTATTTCCCATCTGACATTTGAAAACTACAGAGAGTTAGCATTAGGCTGTGAGGGAAACGAATAATAGCAGAGTAGCCAGTTTATAAGGCGCAACCGCATTGGCCGGGTCGTATAAACTGGCAATGCTAATATTACTCGTTTCTTGCTCACACTGACGCTACCTCGCTCTGTTGTTTTTACATGCACTTATTCAGAACATATAGGAATGCGTTCGATAGCCGATACTGTATGATTAAGCATTCTCATGCAAAAATATTTGAGTATTTACCCCTTAAGCCCACCTATATAAGAATAGTTCAGCACTTTGCGCCTGCCCATGTAAAAATAATTGACCCATTTACCTCTTAAGCATACACATGTAAAAATATTTAAGCCTGCACATATACAAATATTTGGCCTCTTTGCCCTCTTTAGTCTGCTCATGTAAAAAGATTAGGTCATTTTACCACTCACACCTATCCATTTAATAATAGTTGGTCGATAAAAATATTTGGCCCGTTACCCCTTAAGCTTGCTGTGTAAAAATAATAAAGAGCCAGCCATATGAATCACGAACATCATTTAAAGAGAAAAAAATTGTACGCCCGACATAGATCATTTTTTTGTCCTACTTTAGAAACATTTTTTTTTTTTGATCATATTTCTAAATTCACATACGAGCTTCATTGTGGAGTTCCTGAAAACTCGTGCAAAAAACATCGTTAAGAATTATATTTATTTCAAGTTAAAACAATTATCTTCACTCATCACTCAAATAAAATCCTTTAAAAGACATTTGAAAAATTTTAAATAATTTGCATGACACTTAAGAGAAATGTATGTGGTTTCGCAGTTGACAAGTATTTCTAATGAAATCAGTACTCCTGCCGCGGTGCATAAAATAAACTTTATCGGGTCGATGGTGTAGCGGTCTAACGCGCTTATATTCATTTATAGGCAAGTTTATGAGTCCGAGACTGCTGGGCTTCGAATCCCAGACCAGACCATGTAGATTTTTAATTAAATTGCATGGTTCGGTTTAGGATTTGATGTGTGCCGTATTAATAGAAAATTCAATTTCTATTGATATGACATGCAGATTATAAAATCGCCATACATTATCGTCTCGATGATGGTGGGTGAGGTTTTCCGGGTTTTCCTCATCTGTAAGTCAAATGGCACCATCAATCATCCTTAAGTCGCCACGGAGCGCCACGGCAAATAATAATAATAGCCGTCCCTTCCCCTACACAAGTCGTTCAGTCGACTTCAGGGGTTGAAATTCACTCGTAAGGGGGTGAATTAGGGAGAGTATTATTATTATTATATATTATATTATTATTAAGTTAATGTAAATATAGAAAATAAAAATGTATGACATAGACGACTAGGTCCATGCTAACAGTAAATCACTCAAACAGTTAGATCTCCCTGTCTCAGATAAAAATTGTAATGTTTGTTTAGAGTCAAAAGCTACTTGTCTACCTTTTCATAATAATGATAAATGTTCAAAAGAAATAGGAGAATTAATACACAGTCATATTTGCAGTCCTATTAGTCCAGATACATGTAATACTGAAAAATATTTCCAAGTTATCATAGATGAATTTTCTCATTTTGCCAATAAGGCAGACAGAAATTTAAAAGATTTTATTATAGAGCTTGAAAGAATTTAACTCCAATAGTTTTCAAAATTTTTGTAGAGAATGAATAGAAAATCTGAACATATGAATCGTACTCTCTTGAACATGATTAGAGCAAAGATAGTAAAGTCGGGTAAACCAAAATATTTGTGGAGCGAAGCTTTAAAAGCAAGTGACTATGAGTTTAACCCCAGTATATATAACAATCAGTATTGGCACTCTGAGGCGGCACGTTTGATCTTTAAAAGTAGAAATTTTAGTTGACACTTGACGTTTTCGGGATATGAAAAGTTTTCTTTACACGGACTTGGTATACCTGGTTAGTTGAATTTTTGTTCTGCTGCTTTTCAAATTCGTGTGTATGAGGGAGATGTGAGATACCTTTATAGACAACGGTTGAACAACTTAATTACTTTAAAGAAGAAAATAGATTAGATATCAGGGCAGTCTTCGCAAATGTAAGGACAGAACCGTTTTAAATTTTTTTATATATGTGAAATATTACTTTTTGGTGAAAAGTTTAATTACTTTTAGTTCAAAATATAACGTTTTTGTCAAGAGAAATATATAACACACAAGGTTAGAGTAACAAAATAGAGGTATTGCTTTATTTCTTAAGAATTACTCTAATCTAAAACCTTTCTAGTATATTGTAAAAATTTATTCCATACGTTATTTAGGTACTGCAAAATCTATAGGAAAGTATGTAGTTTTAAATTTAAAAATTTGTAACGGAGACATATTTAGTGTAGTTTTTTTACAAATATATACTCAGTGACTTGTTTTTGTGAATGAGTTCAAGTATGGCAGACTAAAATCGTTATTTTTTATTATGAATTTATTTTAAAATGGGAACTATATGTATATGGTTTTCGTAGTTTTTACACTTGTGATAAAAATATCAAAGTTATGTATATTGGCCATTTACTACACACAGCAAATTCATAGACACAGTACATATTACTATTTGACATTCTTGTAAAACTACTAATTTAAAATTGACTTTAAACTAAGTGACACACAGAATTGTTTGAAAGCAGCCATAAGGTATAATTTATTTATTGGATACTATAAAAAAATTAATAGTAGTTACATGTAGAGTTAAGTAACAAGAAATTTAAGACCAAAAACAAAACAAACCTATATATCTAGTGAACTTAATTTAGTACAGTCCACAACTTTCTCAGGCTAACATTAAAGATATCTATTTGGATCTCGCTAAGAAACTCATTGGTAACAGCCATCATCTTGTTAAAAGGAGATATACTACTTGGATCTAAATCAAATAATTTTTTTTACTTGGGTTTCTTAGATTAATCTTTGCCGCATTAACATTTATAGTATAGTCAATCAATTCACAATCTTTGTACTTAAAATAGAGTACAAAATATATCACAACCTGTTGCTTTCTTCTTTGTAAAAGAGATTTAATCTTAAAACTATTGAGCATAGTTTTATACGAGATCTTAGGTATAAAGGTACAAGTATTTTTTATGACATAAAGGTACCGTAAAAATATTTTTTATACTTTTTCAATATGATCAATTTATGTGGCTTCCAAGGGCATCCATATTTGTGAAACATATTCAAGATGGAGTCTTACTAAGGCATTATATAATCTGATTTTGGTGGTAATCCTAAATTTTTTTGTATTTCTGATTTAAAAACCTAATGCTTTTATAGTTATTTGTAAAAAATGGTTATTGAACTTCAAATTAGACTGAAAGACTCAAACCCTTTACCTCATATTCACGATTTAATGTGACATCACAGGTCTTATTTCTAATGTAAAACATTAAGAGGCTATGGATCCTTACAACTTAAAATATGCATAAGTTTGTAAGTATTAAATAGACGGATAAAAAGTGTTGATTTTTATTTACAACTTTAATAAGAACCCATTAAAAAGATTAAGAGCAATAGAACATTTCAACAAATTTCTATAGGTACATATATTTTTGATACCTGATAATCAATAAATAATATATTTTTTGGAGTAGCAGGTTTATTAATACACAACTATTATTTTGTTACAAATACTTATAATATTTATAATTAACATAATAGTTGATATAAGTCCTTTAAAAATAATATATTTTGATTTAATTGTTGAATTTATAAATGAGCAATTTTCCTTGTAGCCTTGTTTACATTTTGCAGAGAAATATTGTATTCTGCTTTTAGCTGATAAATCATGTACATGTAAATGGGTTGAATGTAGACAATGTTAATGTTTTTGCTACTACTGCTGGCTAGGAATGCTGGGCTGGGACACCAACAAAAAAAAAAGAAAGCACAAAGCACTAGATGTTTTTATCACTTATACACGTACAATTTACAACCATTCAAGTAGGTAACTAGCATGTTGGAAATACTTCACGAAAACATATTAAACATAAATCAGTCAAAGGCAATGTATTTTCTTTTTATAACACATCTTTTTAGCTTGATTACTTTTAGTACTCTATTTATTCCAATGTCCTCAAATAAAACGAGCAATAATAAGGATAAAACACACACTGAAATGTATTTGGGGTATTTTTGATCTAAATCCACTATCAAAATAACAAATTTTCCGTTTTTAAGCTGTGAATGTATTACAAAAACTACTTCGATAAAATGTAAACAAAAGTTTATATTTGTGTACGAAATACGGGTTGCCTGCGCATGGTAGCAAGTTTTTAACCGGATTTATGACAAGTGATAGGTTATATCCCGAAAACGTCAGCGCGGTAAAAGCTGCGCGTCTTTTTCCCGCCCAGGGAGTGTCATGGGCCTGGTTTAACAGAGCGCCCACTTCCGTACTAGGTATAGGTCAAACACCTTCATTGATTTTTAATTAAAGCTGTTTTTTAGCCACCACATTGGTTTAAAATATTTTTTAAACCATACTTAAAGTGACGTCATGAATTAATAGATGGCAAAAATAGGGTGTTTTAAAAATATAATCTGCTGTCATATGACAAAATTTTTAATTAGGTATTCTGATTTCGATCGTATTTTTTTACTGATTGTTAAATCAGAGGAAGGAAGATGAGTGTTTGATAGTGGTTTTAAATAAAAATTAAAGTGTTTTTAATAGGTACATTGCAATCTGAAACGATGTTTATTATTTTATTTTTGGTATTTTTCTTTTTAATAAACATGGCATCATATTATTCCGTAGCTCCACAGATACGCGATTGTCTAACGATTATTTGCTGTAGATTTGTTGGGCTTTTCCAAAGTTCATCAACTGCCAAAGAACGTTTAATTGCTTTTAAATATTTGCTGGCAAATTCAGAATCTGAAGCAAACTCCGTAATTATTTTTGTAAAAAACGTACAATTGATAAGTAATCCTTTAACCTTATTTTAATTGAATTACTGTTTCATAATCAAGAGTAACCCATAGGTAGATCACATCGTCCAACTGTTTATGATGACCATAAATATTAATATTTGTATTATAACTAATGTATGAATATGAATCACATAATATATGTATGAAGTTATCAAAAATCAATAAAAATCAACAAAACGTCAAATATATCAAAATGTTCAAAGATGGAACAGAGCAAAACAACATACAACAGCCACAATCAGAATCTCTTATGTGTCAACCGTTATTGAACCATATGCCTCCGACTGGTTCAAAAATTCTAGCTTTGGTTTAAAATATTTCGTACGCGACGTCATAGTTGCATCACTAAAATTTAAACGGTTTAAAACAGTCGAAAATATTTTAAACCAGACACTCGCTAAAAAATACCTTAAGTGTATTTGGATATCGTGCATGAGTCACTAATGTACCTAAAAATAATAAGTTACTGTGGAGGTGGTTACAGACTATGGTTACTAGAAGCAGAAACATTTATTAAGTCAAGAGATGTAAGATTTGAAGAAAATGTTATGGTACTTTTGATAAATAAAGCCGAAAAAAAAATTCAAGAAAATAAAATAATTCTATCAAATATTGAAGAAAATATAGATACATATACTGATGCAGAATTAAGGGATGTACAAGAAGAAGAAATTATAGAAAATGAAGAAATAGGCAGGAATAGTGATAGTGAAACAGAAGAAGAAATTGAAGTAGTAGAAATCGAGCAAATAACTAGATCAGGTAGAAAAATCAGTAAACCACCAAATTTTAAATTCACATGAAAAATAGAAAACATGGACTGAAGCTAGACTACCAGACGGAGAAACAGCCATAGAAACAAAATGGATTTTTAAGAGTAAAAGAAGACAGTATGAAAAAGGCAAGATTAGTTGCGAGAGGGTTCCAGGAGACAAAAGACATAGAGTTTAGCAACTCTCCAGTATGAAGAATGTCAACGATAAAAATTTTATTATTAGTTTCGGTACCTACCTAACAAGTAACAATTGGGAATTGAAACAGACAGATGTTCCAACAGCATTTTTAAACAGTAAAATAGAAAAAGATATTTACATAATACCCCCAGAAGGTGTAAAAACTAAAGAACATCTTGTATTAAAATTAAACCAAGCCTTATATGGTTTAAAAAGTGCTTCAAAAGCTTGAAACAATACATTTAATAGGATAATGTTTACTCTTGGTTTTGAAAGGTCAAAACATGATTTTTGTTTATATTATAAGAAAACTATTTTTCTAGTAAGTACTATATGTAGATGATGCCTTAATAACTGGTGAAAGAAATGAGGTAGAATCATTTTCACAAGATTTGCACAGAGAATTAAATATTAAAATTATTAATAATGTATCATCTTTTTTTGGAAATGACAATACAAAAGACCCAAAAAGGCATAAAGATATTAAAGACAACGCTTATAAATAAAATTCTTGAAGAATTTAACATGAAGGAGTGTAAAAGAGTGACTACTCCGATGGAAGTTGCTATTTCAATAGAAGGTGCTTCAATTAATGAAGAAATACCCGATCGTCGTTTAATCTGCAGTTCGATGTACTTAGTCGACCAGATTTATCATATGCCACATCTTACTGAAGCAGATATCTGGACAAACCTACAGATCAAGCGTGAAAAGCTGGTAAAAGAGTGTTACTATATATCAGTGGGACTAAAAACTTGGGACTCGAATATACACAAGATGAAAAAAATTTAAAAGGATTCAGTGATGCAGATTGGGCCGGTGATAAACAGACTCGAAAAAGTGTTAGTGGATTCGTCGGATTTTATGCGGGAAATCCAGTGTCGTAGCATTCGAAAAAACAGAGTTTTGTCGCGTTATCGTCAGCGGAAGCAGAGTATATCTCAGCAGGTGCAGCAGCACAGGAAGTAATAAATTTATGAATTTTATGAATTTGGTAAATATCCGGACATATGTTACAAAGTGGACAATAAAAGTGCCATCTCTATGATTAATGGAAATGAAAACTCCAAGCGTGGAAAACATATATCATTTTTTCATTAAAGACTTATATGAAAAAGGGGAATTTTTGATTGAATATGTTAATACAATTGAGAATATTTTGGATTTGTTTAAAATCTTTAGGACAACAAAAGTTTACAAAGTCTAGTGATTTGTTATGTAGAGAATAATTTTGTTTTGTCAATTTCATAATGTTGTTTCATGTTAAATAAAAATATTCATTGAGGGGGCTTGTTAAATATGTTGCTGCACAACCTACTAAGTACATAAACTGTCAAAAGTATTGTCACTGTCATTCTGTCTAGAAAAGTAACTTGTTGGTTGTCACTTAAGTATTGGCGGCACATACTTTGATTTTCCTTTACTATACGGAGAATGATCGCACCGCGCAGCTTTCTGAGTGCCTTTTAAAAGGAGATAGGTACTCCGCCATTTTGATCTCTTATTACGTGTTGCCTACATCTTGGCGCGATATTTTTAATAGGTGCGTTTTAATAATCCACTTCTGCTTCGGAATTGTCGGTTTTCTTGTTTTAATCTGACAGGTTAAAACGACTAAACCGACAATTCCGGAAGCAGAAGCGGATGATTAAAACGCACCTGATATTTTGCTTGCTGCTGTCAGTGTCAGTGAATATTATTTTTGGAGTCACAGTTTATTGCTAAAGGATCAGTTAGCTCACTCGGACCAGTTGAAAGTTCCAAAATAACATCCACTCCAGGGATACAAATTCAGGATACGCAGAAGACTGCTGTGTTATTATAGGCGGTTGTCATATATTGTATTATCCGAGTTGCGCAGTGTATAAACTGGAACATTGAGATCAAAAGTGCCGACGCAGAGTGAGCGATCTAATTCTTTAGCTATAAACTGTGGCATAGGAATCAAAATGGCCGCGCCCTATGTTGGGCATGTCGGACCTCTCTCTTGCACCGTATAGTAATCAAAGTATGTGATTGGCGGTTACAAGTTGCTTGTATTTTTTTTATTTAATATACGTTTCCTAATTTACCTAAAAAGGTGTTTGATGTTATTCCCATAAATGTATTTAAAGGTGGAAATGATCGATTTTGATCTATATAATTTGATTTATTTAATTTGCTATTTTTACTTACATCAATATTTGCTAAAAGAGAAACGATAGCAAAATCGGCTATTGTCATATTGTCTCCAGCTATCCATTTGGAATCCTCTAAAATCTTATCCAAATATGAGAAAGACTCGCGAAGTTTTTCTTTGTCTGCATCTGGGACACTTCCTCCAAGCATAATAACTGCCTGTAAATTTTAGAAAGTGATAAATCCAGCAATTTATCGTAGAGATACATTTTTAATTACCAATGAAAACATTGTATTTCATGCAAAATTTATTAAAATTAGTTTAATTATAATTTTAAAAAAAATACTTTTTATAAATTACAATTAAAAGAAAAAGAAAACCATACTAGCAATACTGATTGCATCCCTTCGTATTAATAAAGGAGCAACACTTGTGTGTGCGAATTAATACTAATTAAGGAACCCTGTAAAACTGACATTTTAGGATTTAATTTGGAACGGGTACTTTCTAAATCCGCAAAAATATGCTCTGGTCATTTTGATGATTTTATATAAAAAATCAAATGTCCTCAAATATATAAAAATTGATGCCACTTAAAATCAAGTTATTTTTTATAACATCTCATGGTAATCTTATTGTAAATATGTCTCCTTTTATACCCTCAATGTTTGTAATTGCATAATCATTGAACATTTACTTATTTGCCCTCTTCATCAGTTTCTAAAGAAAGTACATGAGTTTATATTTTATATTAGTTACTAAAAAATGTCTTCTAGCTTAGTACAATAACTCTAGATATAGATAGATCGATATATGGATAGATATTTATCTGAAAGATAAGCACTACAGAAGTTTTCTTTCAAAAAACTATTTGGGACTTTTTATGTCCAGTTCTGTAACGTGTGAAGGGTGGATTTCTCTATGTAATTTAGGTCTCACTAGGTCCATTGTACATCCTCCTAAATTAATGGGCCCCTCTTAGCTAGTCAGCTAGCTTAAAGATTTGATATAGTTGACAACATCACCGAGAAGTACTTTTTTATATCGGCCGGTGTTAGCCAATACTCACCGAACACAGATCTTCGAATAAATGAGAGCGTAGGGCAATCGCAGAGAATATACTCGATGCTATCAACTTCTTATTGGTACCCCCTGCAGAGTGCGGATTCTGACAGCCTCATAATATGGACCAGTCAGAAAGCCTATATAGAAGCAGATTCTGTCTAGTCGTATTTGTTTGTTGCGATGTTTTCGGGATAACTTAAGCTCTCCCTGAAAATTCTACAACTTCTTGTTTCATTACAACTTTATTTGAATTTGACAAATAAACGTTCTTTTGTTAGGTCTGTCACCACCGGTGTAGTGCGTCCAATGGAAAGATCAAGATCAAAAAGTATTTGGTTGGCTGCCTTCTTGGCTAGTGAATAAGTAAGACGGTTACCTTCCGATGTGGTGTGACCGTTGATCCATCTTAAGGTGACCACATTGTTGATGGATACTTCTGCCAAAGCTTCGTGATATTCTAGTACTAACCCTGAGTATATTCGTGGTCAGTCCAGTGTGAGTATAAATGAGCATGTTCTTTTTAGTGATATTGTGTCTGGTATTTTCTTTTGCTCCTATAAGAATCCCTGTGAGCTCGGTTTTAACTACACTGGCACTATTACTCACAACCAATTTTATGTTTTGGTTTAAGGATCTGGAGAATATTCCACATCCTTGAGCCTTGTTTAATTTTAGAACCAGCACTAGTAGTGTAGATATGACTCGTACCTGCCACTTCCGGCTCTTCTATTTGTTTCGTTATAACTTTGGACGGATTTTGAAAAATATGTCTGGTTGAAGTAATGGAAGTGCATCGAGATATTACATCGCCTAACCAGATCCTACACAAGGTTCTATTCCAATCGTGCGGAGTAGAGTCAATGTCACAAACGCAACTTCCTTGTTGTAAATATCAAAGGGAGTGAGATTAAGACTGGCTTCCATAGTTCTAGTCATTATAAAATTATGGAAAAAAAACTCCCATATCCTTAAAGTGAGCTATATGAATTTTCTACGTTCCAATCGGGGAATTGTAGGGGAATTTTCCAGTAGGGGAATTTTCCAGTCGAGCAATTGTCAAAAAAATTTTCTAAACCCATGAAAATAATATTTTTTATTAGCCGTCAACCTCGGTTAAAGAAATAAATTTCGAAATATTAAAACTTACATGTGTAGCAAAGAATCTGGGGAATAGATACCCGGTTACGTAAAATAATCGCTGAGTCACCCTGGCACCTTTCTTAGCATCTTTGGGATACAAGCTGTCATCTTTCCCGTATCGATCCACCAAATATTTCATAATCGCACCGCTGCAATTGAAAAACAGAACAAACGTCTATAAATAATTTATTACAAACATTGTAGTATTAATGTGGTTATACGGCATCGTTAAATGCACCCTATTATTGACTATAGCCAACTGGACTGCGGAAAGTAAAAGTTATATGTTTAACTAGTATAAAAAATGAATGACAAGTCGTATTATGCAAATCAAAAACACAGTTCTTGTCCAAATGGAACATATAAAAGGTTGACAGCTGTGTGCACGTAGTTTAGATTCAAAAGGAAAGACTTGTATTTGGTGCAAAACTTTTTAATTAATAAATGCAAAGCGCTTTCGGCTTATTTGCCATCATCAGTGCTTATCTACAAAAATTGTGGATGTAAACTTACAGTTTAAGAAATATAAAATCTGAGTAAGACTTTTAAATCAAAAGTTAAAATTATATATATGAGGTTATTTTGAACAAATTAACAATTAAAAAATAACAAACAGAGTGACATAACCCAGTGTTGGAAATAGTGAGTGTGGGATAAGCCCTTACAAATCATATCTGATCTCCACAAGCAATTTATTTAATAAAACATGGGGACGATTATTTTTTTTTTTTAAATAACAAACCCAATCTTTCTTTGTTTGTAATCGTCCCCATGTTTTATTAAATTTTCTGAAACATATGTAGTGTTGTGGTAAACAATAGAAAATAAAAACGACCGAATAAACCAAGGAAATTTTTATTTTTAGTTTTCCTTTCATTGTAATTATATAAAACATATAAATGACTTACCTGTCGTATAAAATAAATCCATTATCGTCAATAACCGGTATTGTATGCAATGGATTCATCTAAAATACAAAATGTATATAAAACAATGTAGGTAGATCAATGGATCTACGATAGTGTGACGAAGTAACTAAATTCTTCATTAATTTAATTATAAAATATTTAGTTCAAGTTAGTTCCCTCCGGATAACGTTCTAAAGAACCCCCGTATTTTTATTTCTTAAAAATTTCCGGTTTTGAACATTTCAAAATATTTCATTATCTACTGAAATTTGAATCTTGAGGGCCACAGAAAATCTAGCAAACCTACCACTACTTGTGTCAACCCTCAAATTCGCTTGGAACAATTAATAGAAAAAACACTTGGTAATAAGGCTCATAACCGTGACCGGTTAACCGGTTCCGTAGGACCAGAAAACCGTTAAAGAACGTAACCGGTTTAACCGGAACCAGTTTAATCGTAACCTGTTTAACCGGAACCGGTTTATAACCGGTTTAACCGCATCCGGTGTAACTCTAATCGAACCGGTTAAACATGTCACTTGTTGAGCCGTAACTAGTTTAACCGTACCCGAAACCGGTTTTAACGTCGATACTGACATCGAATGATATACCAAAAACAAAGTATTGATGGCATTAAAATGACCGAAGTGAAAAAAAAACGATATTTACAAACATCGATATTTCTAAAACTTATACATTTAATAGTAAGTAAAACAAAATGAGACTATTTATTTTATAAAAAAATTCAAGCAAATATAAACATTTCAAATGTAATAATAAAACAAAGCCAAACTAAGAAAATTATTATTTAATATTTATCTACATCACAGTTATCCAAAATATGCTTCAAATTAAACTTTTTCATTGACTATTGAGCGATAAAAATTTGTTTTTGTTTTAAATAAAGATACAATATGCTGAAGAATGGAAAATATCGAATAAAACATCGATGTAGATCGATGTTAAACCGCCAAATCCGGTGTAACCGGTCCGATTCGACCGGCTCGGTTTGATCGGACCGGTTAACCGGGTAATCGGACCGGTTAACCGGATAATCTGACGGGTTCACAGGATAATCGGACCGGTTAACCGGATATCCGGACCGGTTATAATTATAGTAAAAATCCGATTAAAACCAAAACCGGTCAAAATCAGTCGAACCGGTTAACCGTTTACCACGTCAGGAATTGACAGCCTTACTTGGTAACCGGTGTTTCACTCTCAACAAGTTTGGAAGTACCTATTTCACCTATCTCATATGTCTGGTACTGAGTCTTATAGTTTAACACACCTGTTGGTAATAGATCATACTTGTTGATTTTTGTTGTTTTGTCCAAAGGACCCCGCACTTTTTACATTGTTTTTGGGTAATGTCAGAATTTGTTCAAATTTGAGTATGTTTTTGTTATGTCACTTAAGATAACTTTCTTATGGACCCCTATAGTTTGCTGAAGCTCTACAGGGTGAGCTATTAGAAGGATTCAAAAGCAAGGAGTGCAGAATTAATATTTTCAAATATATCTCCACCACTCTTAAATAATTGTTTTTTTTTTTTTTCATGAAACTTGTCATGTGTTACACTTATTTATAGTTTGTTCACGCTTACTTACATTTGTAAAGTATACTTGTGTACCATTTATTTTTGAAAATTTGTATGTGCAAAACGTTAAGACCGTGTTGATCATTTTCTACAATTTGTGAGTTTTAAACAAAAAGTGGATTGTCGGCTCATATGACCGTCACGGTACGAGTGAATAATGTGGTGCCGGTCAACATGACCGACACGGCAGTTAACTTGTTAAAGTAAATACTACTTTTTTTACAAACAAGTATACGAGTATATTTGCTTACCTTCAAAAATTCTGGTTTCATTGTATCACCTGACATCGGATGGGTAATCTTTATATTGTGTTTTATTCCAAGAGCTCTCATGGTCATCAGAACCGCCCTGGAAGGGGGACTCATCGGGAAATAGTAAATATCGATTGTGTGGTTAACCATGTTTGGATCGAATATCCTGAAAAAACAATATCAACTCAATTCCTGGGTATGTCTAAAAATTATAATTAGACTAATGTGTTTTCCTATTTGAAGAGTAGGTATATTGTAGGTCAGAATTGTGTATATAAATATCCCAAAAGGATTAAAAGCAAAAGACATCCTTAAAACTAAATTATACAATACAAATAAATTCCTGGGTATTCGTTCAAATTTTAATTACACGTTTCGACTTTGCCATCTTCGGATAATCGTATTTTTCCAATTTTATGTAATCGTGGCAAGTGTCAAAATGATTCACTTTATGCAACCAGTTGTATAATGTTGAATATTATGAAACTGGTAACGAATAGAAAACAAATAAAAATTAATCTGTTTTTGTTTGCAAATCAATAATATATAATATATAGGGGTGGGTGGCTCAGTGGTAGAGTCTCTGCCTGTGGATCCAAGGGTCCTAGGTTCGAATCCCACCGTTGGCCGGGATTTATTTAATTTAATTATTTAAAATTAATTCTGATGCCTTGGTAGGATTCCCCACACGATCATTCACTGTTGGGTTCTAATTAACAGTGCTGTTCCTAAAGTGGCGCTGGGAAACAGTAACAAAGCATACACAGAACACAAGGCTAATGACCGATGACACCAAATAAAAAAAAAATAATATATAAATTATTATTGAAAGTTTTTATTAAAGAAAAAAATGGTTGACTATCTGAAAACAGTATTTGGATAAACTTACAACCTAGTAATAATGTTGTTTTGGTCGCGCGAATTTCGAAATGTCGGCCGGGCGCGCACGCTTTCCTCTGTAGTAGTTAAGAGGTGGGGGGGAGAAGCGTAGCGTCATCTTATGATGTAGGTGGAAAAAGGGCGCGCCCGGCTGACGTTTCAAAATTCACGCGCGCGCGAATTTCGAAACGTCGGCCAGGCGTGCTTGCTTCGTTCGCTTTCCTCTGTAGTAGTTAGGTTGTGGGTGGGAGGAGCGTAGAGTTATCTTATAGAAAAACTGTTGCCATAAAAACGCTTGTCATGCTAACGACTAAACAAATCCTGTAGTGAGAAAATGCCAAGTTATAGATGGATTCATTTTCACATTAGTTTAGATTAGGATATTGTGTTAAGAGTTAATCTAAATATAAGAGGCAACTACGCATTTCCTTACCACTAGATTTTAAGTTTTTGTTTAGTCGACATCACGACATCTCGATAACCGATTTCAGCTAAACTAAAGTGAAAATTAAATGACCTGTAACTTGCCATCTATGCATTTTCTTACCACAGGATTTGGGTTTTTGTTTAGTCGTTACCATGACAAGTGTCTCTATGGCAACAGTTTCTCCGAAACTGATTACAGCTGTAACTTGGCAACCACGCATTTCCTCACCATATGATTTGGTTTTTTGTTCAGTCGTTAATATGTCAAGCGTTCCCATGGCAACAGTTTTACCATAACTGATTTCGTCTAAACTAAAGTGATCATTAAATAATCTATAACTTAGCAACTATGCATTTCCTCACCACGAGATTTGGGTTTTTGTTTACTAGTTACCACGGTTACACGGTTGCCATGGCAACAATTTTTACGTAACTGATTTCGGCTAAACGAAATTTGACTCATTGGGAGTTTGTAAACGGGTGTAAGAATCGCCCGGCCGAAGTCGTTGCTACCGCAGCTTCGGATTCCGCAGGTCGAAAGGCGAAAGCTGATTTAATTTTAGCAATAAGTCCTTCAGAATTAAAGCAGATTAAAAATTGTTAAACATCCCACGATGTATGGGAAAAATTGCACACTATTTTTCAATCAAAAGGACCTGTAAAAAAGGCTACTTTTCTGGAACATTCTGAAGAATCTAAAGGATTTAGAGTCTGGTTAGTAGACAAAAAAGGTTGTAGTGGCCAGAGATTTAAAAAGTATACTTACAAGAAAATTTAAAAGTAAATAAAAATATAGAATTTCCAAAGTTATTAGAAGACGATTTAGAAGTTATATTTGAAAATTACCAAAAGGTTCAAGAATAGAAATTGGCATCACAGAAGATGAAAATGATAATTTTAGAATAGAAATTGCCAATTCAAAAGATGAAAGAAACAAAGAATTTATAAAGGGAAGACCACGAAAACAAAACAGAATGGTACCAAAGGTAGAGCAATTTAAATGTAACAATGTAGAGATTTCTTTGGACTCAGCTCTAACAGGAGACAACTCTAGAGAATGGAGAGAAGCGATGAGAAAAGAGTACATTTCGTTAATAATGAATAAAACTTGGACTTTAGTAAAAGATTTAGAAGAGGAAAGAGAATCTGTAAGATACCTTTTGGTGTTAGTAAACAAGTACAAAGCAGATGGAAACCTTAAAAAACGAAAGGCCCGTTTAGTTTCCAAAGGATATTTTCAATGTCCTGGAGTCGACTTTAACGAAACTTTTGCTCCTGTAGTAAGAATTAGTTCAGAGAGAACAATAATTGCTTAGGCAATAGAAAAATATATGAAATTGTATCAGTTAGATGTAGAAACAGCATTTCTTAATGGAGATTTAGAAGAAAACAATGGATTTCTTTGAGGAGATACTAGAAGATATTTGTACATATGAAGAGGAATCAGTTGCATTACAAGCTTCAGAAATGTTAAAAGATTTAAAAGCCGGTAAGAGAATGTGTGCTCTAAAAAAGTCTTTACATGGATTACGACAATCGGGGCGACAGTTGTACCTAAAACTACATAAAAAAACTCATCTCTTCCGGAATACGTCCTTGTAGCTCAGACCCTTGTGTATATTACGCTAGAAGGAGAGTATATATTATGCTTTTAATAGTCTACGTTGATGATTTCAAATTTCAAAATGACAATGTAAATATTTCTCAAAATATATATATATATATATATATATTGGATATTTTAAAAGAATTTCAAATGCAAGAATGTAAGCCGATACAAACACCGATGGAAGCAAATCTAAAATTAGAGTAGACAAACTGTACTGAACAAAGTATGAAGAAGTATCCGTACAGATCTTTAATTGGTAAACTAATGTATTTATCACAAGCAACACGTCTAGATATTACATTTGTAGTCAATTACCTGAGTCAGTTCAATACGTGTTATTCTGAAGTTCAATGGAAAGCAGCAAAAGAATATGTAGATAACTAAAAGAAACTATTGATTTATAGATTACATACAGAAAGACTGATAACCCATTAGTGGGATACTGTGATGCTGACTGGGGTGAAGGAATCATAGACAGAAAATCGTATTCTGGCCATACTGCTCAGGGTGAATGTGGTAATATTTCTATGGTTATTCTATAATTGTCATTAAGTTATTAATGTTAGTTAATCTTGTGCTACTGAAGAGGAAAAGTTTTTGTCTGTACCAGACGATATATTTTTTCTGATAATCTAGGGACCCATCTAGAGTAATGTGCGAACATGCCTAATCCTCGTCTCAAGGAAGCAATATTGTTAGGTAATGGGAAATTTATTTTAGCCTCTAACCTTGATGGATCAGGTTTAAGTGTATTTTTTTCTATATGATAGCCTAACAAATTGATAGTTTGTTTTGAAAAGGAACATTTTTCTTCATTAATTGTAAAATTGTATTTTGAAATTATCTCAAAAAGGCGATCAAGATTTTGATCGTGCTCGGTCTGGTTGTTACCACAAACTGTAACGTCGTCAAGGTAAGCGAAAATTCCCTTTAATTTTTCGGTGATTATGATATGATCAAGAACTCTTTGGAAACAGGCAACACCATTGGTTACACCAAAAGGAATACGACAAAACTGATATAGCTTTCCTTCAGCTTCAAAGGCAGTATAAGCTTTATCATTATTATAAATCGGAATTTGGTGATAGGCACTGCGCAAGTCAATAGTACTAAATATACTAAATTTCGAAACTTCAGAAACTAACTTTTCAATATTGGGTAATGGATAAGCATCGAGAAAAGTAAAACGGTTAATTGTTTGAGAATAATCTATTACCATTCTTTTCCTATGGTGTTCATTTCGAGTCACGAGAACTTGTGCCCGCCAAGGAGATTGACATGGTTCAATTATTCCTTCAAGTATGCGTTTCTTGATTTCTTCAGATATAAATTTTGCATCGTCAACTGTTTGTTTGCGGGATTTTGTAATAATAGGCTTACAATTTGAACTTAAATTTGAAAATAAACTGACACCAGTAAATCCATGCATCAGAGGCAGTGCTTGAATTCGGATCTACATCTAATTTATCAGGCTGGAAGAGTCGACCCAAGAATGACTTGTTTTCAAGAATGGTAGCTGATGCTTCATTCGTTGTTAAAGGCATTATTTTTAATTGATTAAATTGAAATGAATTATACTCCTTTTGTAAAGGTTTAATCAATTAAAAATGACAATTAGCTTGACAAGATTAACTAACATTTAACTAGGCGATTTTAAATCAGTTACTAGAAATGTGACCAAGTCAAGTGTGGTCAAGGTTCTTACGTCATTATAATGATGTTCTAATAATCTGATTTAAAAATGTTTGGTTTATATTGACACTAACTTTTGTTTTTATAAAATAAGCTCCTTTTTTTGTAGAGATCTAAAAAAAGGTCCTCCGCTTATATTTATTTAAACCATCAGATTCCTTTTTCTGAGCTTCTCAAAAACAGGTCAAACATTGTCAAAAATATCATTGTACATAACTTTAAATTTAAAAAACGTAGCAATAAGGTGAAATGCGGAGCATTTTTGTACTTTGGCGTAACGCGTGCCAGCAAGTTAAAAAGCGGGACAATTACGCCTAAAGCGCGACGTCTGGCAACCCTGGCTGAGTACCTAGATATGGACGCATTTAAGGTTTCTGCAAATGAAAAGCCAATTTATTTTCAAGGTAAGATTTATTAATGAACATGGCTAAAGTTCTGATAAAATTTCAGAGGCCAAAGTAACTATAATACCAATTTTCTCTTCATCCATGATCAGTAAACAAAACAAATATTTATTTTTTATCCCTACAAATTCAAAAACAAATCCTAATACTATTACATAACACACAAATAAAAATTCATGATATCTGCCAGTGTTATACCCATTGTGAAGTTAGTGTCAATATAAACCAAACATTTTTAAATCAGATTATTAGAACGTCATTATAATGACGTAAGAACCATGACCACACTTGACTTGGTCACATTTCTAGTAACTGATTTAAAATCGCCTATGTTAAACTTGACTATTTCAAGACAATATTCAATATGACGTCATTGTTTTTGATTTATATCAGTGTAGTCAATCATATTCAAGACATAGTATCTGATTTAAAATCGCCTATTAATAACATAATGACAATTATAGAATAACCATAGAAATATTACCACACATACATTTATTCACGCTGGTGCAGCTGAAACCTGGCAAACTAAAAAGCAACCTACCGTGGCCTTATCGTCGATGGAATCCTGTTTTTCATTCTAGGTCAAAACACATCGATATAAAATTTCATTACATAAGAAATTTGGTTTCAGATGATATAGTCGAGATCAAGTTCACACCTATATCAAAAATGTTGGCAGATGTATTCACAAAATTTTTACCAAGCTAGAAGCATGAATTTTGTATAGAACATTTCGGACTACAGGATTTTTTTTAAAGGGGAGTGTTAGAAGTTAACGGACTTGTACTTGTATAAAAACAAATGTTAAAAATATATAATATTTTGTAATTGTCAGTTAGACAAGTTTCAAATAAAAAGTTCCAATTCGATATTTTATTTTAATTCTACTGATGCATTCAATACGCCGGAGAAGAATTTTCCAGTTTTATGATATTTCTGTGGATAAGACTCTTTTCGTATTTAAACATTACATCTTTATTTCAACTCCAATTTTAAAATTAAAATTTTTATTCGGTTGAGAAAAGATGGAACGATATTAATATCGCCTTATTTGAAAGATTCATTTTTAATATACTAATTTGTGAGGGTAAAGTTAGGTTATTTTTAACAATTTTATTGAACTTTGGATTCTTTTTTCTGACTGAACCCTTTGTATTTTTATTAAAAACTTCTGTAGAATGATACATCAAACCTTTGTCTTTTGATAAAAGAATCAATGAAACATAATAATTATTGTACTGTCTAGAATCTAGAATGAAAATCAAATACTCGAATTTCATACATTTCAATTGCATTTGTGAGCAGTGCAATAGATCTTAAGATCATATATCTGGGAGACACGTCAAGTCAAGGAGACTGCAATGATGATAATTTTTATTTGTTTTTTATTTTTTTCAATTTCCGATTTAGTTGTATTTACAAACCTATTTTATTATCAAAGAATTATTAAACTCAAAAATATTTGAAGGTTGGTATACTAAATATTTTGCAAAAAAATCATTTATATCAACAAATCATCATAATAAAATCCCCTGTACTTACTTTGATTCGTTTGATGTAGCTGCAAAAGTGAAACAGCACTAATTAATGATAACCCAATACTTTAGTCAAGCAATTTTAATTTTTTTTTAACCACTTCTTTATTAAAAGGTAATTTGTAAATTTTAGCAAGTGTATTTTGAGTTTAAAACCATGCAGAACCTTTTATAAACATTAAAATTTTGTGAGAAAATTAGAATAAAATGTTTTTCAATATTTATGCCGAACGCTGTATTCAGTGTTTTATAAGATTAAAAATGCATCCCAGGTTACTACGAAAATGATAAATCAGGCCGAGAAAGTCAAATTTTTTTTATAATTGTTAGTCGAAAATTAAAATTTTCATTTGACATTTTTGAATATATTTAAAAAAAAAATAGTAACAAATTTTCATTTATCATTTTCTAAACTTTTAAATGTAATTAAAAAAATAAATAAAAAAATTAGTAGTACCTACTTTCATTTATCATTTTCTAAACTTTTAAATGTAATTAAAAAAATAAATAAAAAAATTAGTAGTACCTACTTGTTGTTTAAAGGGACGACTCCCTCGTTTTCCATGCAATTCCCCAGATTGAAGTTAATCGAACTATTGATAATATCGGAACTCGAAACGTGTACTCCCTACGGTCGAAAAAAAATTATAAATTACTGTTCAAAGCTAATGGAAATCTCTAGTTAGGGGAGAAATTAGGTTCCTGTATTCCTATGGAGACTGTCGACTACAACATCGATGCTTGTGGTCATTCAATTTGATGCGCTTTAAATATTTGGTTTGGATTATCGACGTCAAATACAAGTCGTCGAATAGTTCGATATCCATTGGATGCAACCCAATATGTACAAGGACTTTAGATATATTAAAATTGTAAATATTTAATTGAAAAAAATTACAAATTTTATTATTTATAATCTTAAAAATTTATTTCACTTTTTATTTATCTAGCTGTTCAGAATATTCTTTATATTTATGGAAAAACGATTTTTTATTATCTTTTTACGAATAATATGAGTCCAGCCTAATGGCGGCAATGGTGCAGTATATTACAATAATTTTGTCTTGTTTAAAACTGTTGGGAGGTTGACATATTTAATACCATAATATTGTATTAATTTTAATGGTATTTGGTTATTTTCTTTAAAAATAATTTTTGCGATAATTGTTTTAATGTTATAAATTGTATTCAAAGTTGGCGGAATCTTTAAAAAAAATCATTGTGCACAATTTCTCTCTTAAAATCCTTATCATATGTATATTCGTGAGAATTTGACTGCCTTATCGACTTTTTTCTTCCTACACAGGAGATTTCAATTCGCCAATGTATTGTTTCTCTTTTTTTTTTTTTTTTTTTTTTTTTTTTTGATGGTATAAATTGTTTTTCACAGACCCCACTAATTTTGGAAACACGACTTACCGCTGCAGTCACACTCAATTTATCGTCTTGATTAAATAAGAAATCATATTAAAAATCACAAGTTTGCACTCCCATGGAGCATTGGTCCGCATTTGAATTTCTTAAACTCTTATAGTTAAGAAATCGCAACTGAACCAACCCCAAGAAAAAGTTATTGACTAATTAAATGTCAAAGATTTAACAATTATAAAAACTATGAAGACTAGAGAGAAGGAGGAGTATTTTGTTCTAGAATGATCTTTAATTGATCTCTTGACCAATTCCTTGGATCCACTTGCAAGAGTAGCCTAAAAAATTAACTAATTTGATCTAAAATAACATATATAAATAAAATGTTTCCTCGTCATTAAAAACATTCATGAAAATTACTGGAATTAATTTTTACATCCACAAGTGTATCTGTATTTTTGATAAAAGAATTATTTTTTTATATACCGGGTGTTTAAATTAAAGTGTTACAGCTAAATACCGTCTTTTATAAAAACAACGTTTCAGACGAAAGTTATACAGCAGTATGCATAGTCGATCGCCAGCGACTCGCCAGCGATTCGCTGGCGATCCGCCGGCGACTCGCCGGAGATTGTCACCGGAATGTCATTTCACGCAAGTTTTCATGTTCTTTTATAGGGAAAAATTTGATATTCGTTCATTATTTTTTGAGTTTTAAGAAATGAATCATGAATAAAATGCGAGAGATACCGGTGATAATCCCTATAAAAGAAAATAAAAACTTGCGTGAAATGACATTCCGGTGACAATCTCCGGCGAGACGCCACCTTTTTGGGCTTTCGCCGGCGGATCGCCAGCGAATCGCTGGCGAAACGCCGTAATGAATCTCTGGCGAGTCGCTGGCGATCGACTATGCATACGGCTGTTAGAGTTTTGTGGGGAAAATTTTTTGCCTAAAATCGTTTTTTATAGCTAACCATAATATGGCCAACTTTTTTTTTATCGCGGAGCAAAATTTTCAAGTAGCCATTAATCAAAAAGTAAAAGTCCAATAAAAAAAATATTTCCCTCAAAAGTTTATTATTTTTTATGTACTTTAAGAATATGTAAGAAATATGGGGTTCCAATAAAAAAAAAAGTTCACCTCGCCATATTATGGACAGCTATAAAAAAATGAATTTAGCCAAAATGTTTCCCCCAAAAAACTATATAACTTTTGTATTTTTACTATAAGAAGCTAGGGTTCATCATTTTCGTTAGCATTTAAATTTAAATTTCGGCGGTATTTAACTGTAACACTTTAATTTGAACACTCGGTATATCCTATCATACTATTTAAAGATTCCAATCTACTTTGTAAAATATATTTCTCCTAAGTTTTTTAATTATATTTTTTTGGCATAGAATCTTCTTTTGGACAAGAGCTAATTTTTTATTAAAACATAACTGATTACATTTTTTTCTTAAGCATTGCTTTCTTGAAATCATAATAATGATTGACTATATGAGAAAATATCTTATTTGACTTCAACAAACCTTCGTTTTTTTTTTAAGTTCTCTTTCCCTTTCAGAAGCATTTAGTGTAGATTAATGGGAGCTTACAGATATTGTGGTTTAAGGTGATGAGTTTATCAAATTTTAAACAATTTTTTGTCTTCTAAAGAGACTTAAAGATTGAAGTTCCCTGTCTTGCATATCTTCGTCCCTACAAATGAAATGTACATAAAATGTATTCTGCAGATTTATTAATGATATACATTTAATTAAATTTCAAAAGTTCCAACTGCGAAATTTCCAATGTTAGAAACTGCAGATAAGGGCATATTTTATTTGCCGTCGTTATTTTTAAGCCTGTAAACAATAATGTAATAGTAATAATATATGTTTAGTATTTAACAAAATAAGCAAAAAAGTGTGTTTCGAAAGCCACATATATGAATATCGAATTACAATTATGTATTTACAGTTTATATGGAAAAAACTTACTTATTTCTAAAGCAAAGTTCAGGTACAGCTTTTGGTATAGATCCTTTTATTAATCTATTGCTACCTGTATAATAATGTTCAGTTGAAAATGGTCTGGACACATACATGTGTTGTTAGAAATGCTATTATTGCTCAAACTATATACCTGACAGTTTGGTTGTGAGATCAGCAGGAAATCTGAAATAAGTAAAAAAAAAAAAGATTTAAAATATTTATGGTATTTGAATAAATTATGTACAATATAAAAATATATCTAATCCATTTTACATTATACGAAAAGACATAAATTAAGCATTATCGCAAAGAAAACAACTATTTTCTGTCGAACGCAACCAGTTATGGTGATGCTCAAATGAAGAACATTCTACAAACATGTTTTCTTATTCATTTGCCCATTTCCTATTTTAAGTTACGTTTATGGAATATAGAATACTTACTTGTATAACGTCAACCAGAATCCTTTTAAGAATTTATTATTGCAAACTATACAAGCTTACGGCACTTATTTTATAATAAAAAAACACTTAAAAATTTATCAAAGAGACTCTTCGTCCAAATTGTCTTTGGAACCCACAAAAAACGATCTTTTTAAAAACAAAAACAAGACGTCAAATGAAATGTCATTTATCACAAATACTCGCGTTATTTAAATTCGCCAGTCATAAATGGTTGTGTTCCTAACTCGCCAATCATAATGTGTAACACTCCTAGTCTATAGTCTATTTTTATGTATGAGAGAGTAATAAAACAGCAATTCTAATGCAAAACGTAGTACGGTCATTTTAAATATTTTTACAGAATAATCAAAATATTTCCTAAAATTGTAATAAATGTACCTGAGCTATTACAAGTTTTGGGTCTTTTATTGGTCCTTTATAAACATAAGCTGTACAGAATAATAGAAAAAGGTTTGGACAGGCCAAAAGCCCTGTGTATTAAAGATTACATAGCCGTATCTCAAGATTATTTTCAATAAGTACCTATTTGCCAATTTTGTTTTATTTTAATTCCAAGAATTTCTTACAGTAATCGAATTATAAGTAGATAAATACCTTCCCAACAGATTTCACCGAAAATGTGATTATAGGTTTTTCATTTAGGAGGTCCAAGTTGTGTATTCTTGACAGTTTACTAAATGTCGTTTAGTTGCAACTTGCAAGGTGCAGTGTGAATTCTAGTGTGATCATGGAAAATTTGAAAGGGCCGCGTAAACGACAAAAAATCGGTCCTTTAACAGTTAATGAAAAAACATTAATATTTAATTGTTTTAAATCATTTACAGACAAAAATGTATGTAAAAGTGTTGATGACACAGTGGAATTAGTTAGTAGTACGCTTGGTGTTGGGAAATCTACGATTTACAGAGTTGTTAAAGAAGAGAAATTTGGCGAGTTTCAAACAGCACGTAAAGCTCCAGGAAAACCAAAATTTCAATTAGAAAATCTTTTGAAAGACTTCGAAGGAAAGTGCATGCGATCTTCTTTAGAAAAGAATTTCCGACAGTAGACAAAGTTCTTGCCACGGTTCGAGATGATAAGGATTACCCTGAAATGAGTCGAAGCACACTATGGAAACTTAAAAGAAATAGGTTTTCTATGGAAAAAGCATTCCAGAAAGTCTATTTTAATATAAAGAAGCGATATTGTAGTATGGAGAAGAAATTACCTAAGGACTATAAAAGAAGAAATATATTTTATTTAGATGAAACATGGATCAACGAGGGACATAAACCAAATAAATTTTGGTAAAATGAAACTGTTACAAGTCGAAGACAGGCTTTTTTAAATAATTTATCTACTGGTTTAAATCCACCATCAGGAAAGGGGCGCAGACTAATAATAGTACACATCGGTAGTTCAAACGGTTTTGTTAAAGGTGGTTTATTGACTTTTGAATCTACTTGTACCGGTGACTACCATGAGGACATGAATGCTGATGTCTTTAAAGAGTGGTTCGAACAAATTATAGATCTTCTTCCTCAGAACTGTATAATTGTAATGGATAATGCAAGTTATCACTCGAGACTTATAGAAAAAATGACCACAACCAAGTGGTTAAAAAAAATTTACAGAATTGGCTAAATTCAAAGAATATTAAGTTCCATCCCGTTTCTGTGAGAAAAGAACTGTATCATTTGTGTTCCCTTCATAAAGAGAAATTAAAAAAATATGAAATTGATGAAATTGCAAAAAATCGTGGGATGACGGTGGTTAGATCACCACCATATCATTGCGAAGTAATGTAAAGGTTAATTAGGTGAAAATATAAGTGTATACTTGAAGAATAACT